ACGGCGTCTACAGCGGGATTATCTTGTTTGGCCCTGGGTGCAGTGTGATCTGCCGATATTTGCAGGTTATCGGTAGTAGGAGCATCTACATGTGCCTCATGGTTGTGGTCAGTAGATTTACTAGGAGTGTTCTCTCGAACTTCGAGACCCATTACAGTTTTACTGCTTTTTTGGGTTTCCCTTCGCCTTCTCGTGTCGTTTGTTCACCTACTACATTGCAAGTGTCACTTTGTGCTACAGTGTTCTTTGACACTTTGGTACTGACGCTATTCACGATTTGTGGTATAATCGTGTTTGTATCTATGATGTTCTTAGCTACTCGTCGTTGGTTGGGGGTTTTGTTCGGGACTATTTTAAAATTTTTGAATTTTGTGGTGGAAGCCAAAATATTCTCAGATTTCCTGAATTGTTCGGCTATAATACAGCTGTCAAACCTGAAAAGTATGGGAAATGTGCGGTTTGTATCTTTTTTATTTAGTCTAATGCACTGACAGGGTGTATTTAGAAGGTTGGCAGCTCTTAACAAGGAGTGCTGAACCGATTTTATGTGCTCTTTGCCAGGTATGTTGCACACCACGGCGTTCTGCTTAAAAGCAAGTCTCTTAACAACTTCGCTCGACAAAAAGTCTATAACGTTTTCTAGCTCCTTAGCATGTTTCAATTCAGCATCGGTTGGTTTAATAATAATAATAATAATTTATTTTCATATAAACATAAATTTACATGAAAATGCATGCCATTTTTACAGGCACGATCAAGGATGATATAATGTCAAATCTTAAATTGTCTACAAGTTAATAATGTTTCAACAGTTAAATATTTGATATATATATAAATACACATTGTCTGAACTAGGCTGTATAGTTATTGAATTGTACAATTGTCCTCCAGGTTGAGCGGGAAAATCGACTTCGTTTCGTTTTCATCCCGTGGTTGTAGGCATACGATAATCAACCAATATTGAGGTAAGTACAACGTTTACAAGGAATTGGAAGCTGTTTTAGAAAAATTAAAGTGCTGTGGTGTAACATTAAAGTGTAATAGATTAAGTGAGTGAAATATATCATTAATAAACACATTTATATAGAAAACAGAATGGGGAAGTAATTAATCCTTAGGCCGACAACGTTCATTTGCAATGTATAATGAAACCAATATATTTTATACTATCATGCGTTCACTTTTGGCTTTAATACAATTATTTTCAAGCCAGTTGTCTTTATTTCATGTCTTTTTTTCTATTTGGTGCACAACCGTACCCTCCAGAGAATAGGAATAGAATAAGTCGAATCAAATTCATAAAGAGCTATAAAATGTTAGGTTTAATGGAATATAATGAGAATCAAGTAAAGACGTTATTAGAAAATAAGTGAGACAAGATATTGTGAAGTGGTATTTAAAGATCTGACAATGGATAGCAAGTTAATTTATAAGATGCCCCATAAATCTGTGCAGATCCCACGTGGTCGCATCTCAACAATAGGCTGAGCGAATGGTATATATTTAAAGGTAGAAGCATTATCTGTCAAGGCGTTCACTATTATCTTTTTCAAGATAAAGATCTAAGCCCTCATAAAAATCAGAAATATCTCGAGCCTTTAATTTGTATATTGCTGTTCCTGCAGAATGGGGCGATTCACCTTAGTGACCACCACCATATCTACTGATCAGCTAACGCCACCCTCCCTCCTTTTTTGATGTTAGGCTCTGAGACTATGATTATTATGGCTACCGCAAATATATTGCTTGGTACCAGACATGTTCGTACCCCATATTCCATCTCCCTAGCTTTCTTAATGAGTGCTTCCAATAGGTCTCCACGTACATCTTTACGAACATATTATATATGTGTGCATGCATCCTGATGAACAGATTACTTTATAAGAAGTTAAAACCTTAAAGAGTAAAACGAATAGGTATTGTGAATAGTGGAGCAAGATTTAGCAGAATACTATAGTTAAGGTTCAATTTAGGTAGTATGGACTGAAGGTAAGGTCGGTTGGCAGGACTTAGTGTACTAAATTTTCATGACAGTCTTATATATAGTAAACATCTGACATTGCAAAGTAACGTGTCTAGACATATTATAAAAAGATATTAACACAGAACCAACGAAATTTTGGCGTTTTTTAACAATACTGCAGTGTGTGTATACTGAAGAATGGTGGTTAGTCTACAGGGAGCCGTAGAGTAAATCAAACCATATATGATAAGAGTATAATCAATAATATAGTTCGTATATCAAATATTACACTAGGTTCAATAATTGAGTGTTATAAGGGAAACAAGCGTGGTAAAGCAAGAGAACATTTGATGCATAAATATTTTAAGTATTTTAATATCCATCTAATTTAAGAGTTGAACATGCATGATTAATAAGTATTGTTATATTAGTATATACATATGTAAAACGTTAAAAGGTGTGGATGCTATTACAATTATTTCCAGTGTTACTTTTACCAACACAACTTAGTGAAAATTATAGAGAATAGAAATCAGTAAATTAGTTAACGTTCGCTGCGTGAGTATTAGAGTCGAGATATACGTATGTGACTATACTGAAGACTGGACTGGCCTTCAATTTCCGTTCTACCAACAGTTGTGGTCTTTTAGACGAGCTAGGGTGGACATGTTAAAGTGTCTTTCTAGGCTCCGTTTGAACCCATCAGGGTTTTCACAACATCTTATTTCAGGTGGTAGTTGGTTCCAAAGAGTGCAATATTTTATGGTGAAAAAGTTTGCCCTAATGGATTTTCTGTGGGTAGCCACCTTGACAAGGTAGTCGTGGTTTCGCAGCTGATATGATTTAATATTTTCCCAAGTTATGGATGAGTTACTGTAGCAGTGTTTCCTAATGACTTTGAAGAGTAGAAATAGGTTGCACTTCACTCTCCTTAACCACAGAGGCTCTAATTTCAGACGTACACACCTGTCAACATATTCCACTTGTTGGTCGAACCCTATTATGCGTTTCGTGAGGAATCTCTGGACACTTTCGATTTTTTTTCTGTCTACAGTCCTGAGGTTACTAAATAGGAGAGCACAATATTCAAGTTTGGGACGGATACATGTCCTATATATAGCTAATCTTGCTTCTTGGGTGTAGAAGTTACGCAGTACAAAGCCAGTAAGTCGTTTACAGTCAGATACAACCTTATTTGCGTGATCGGAAAAGGATAAATCTGAGTATGTTATCCCGAGGTCTGTGACTGTGTTCAGTTTTGACAGGAGCTTCCCGTACATTTAGTCCTGGGCTTAAAGAGTTTTAGGAAAGTGAGATCCCCCAGTTCCTTTTTGAGATGGAGGATTGCTTCTGGTACCAGGTCAAGTTGATTTAGTTTCGTCCTGAGGTTATTTGTTTGTAGCTGCATGTCATTTATGATGCAGAATAAGTTAGTAATCTCTGCCTTTTGTGACAGGATATCTTTCACCTGTATTACAGGGGCTGGGATTATGTTGGAACCGTTTATATTGGGTGAACTATTAACTGCAGCTGATTTAAGGGGTGATAATGCGTTACTCGATAAGCTTAAGCTATTTTCTAAATTACCAGTGTTCCTAAGAACACGTTTTTTATAGCTTTTGCCCATTATTATTGGTGATAATATGGCAGAACAGAAAAATGAATAGCAGCGAAAACACGTGCAAAAGTTTCACCAGATTCGAACGTACCGCGTACAGCCAAATGTTGCCCTTGTTAACGTATTGTTTATGAGGGAGTTTTCAGTCGCGAAACAGTCTTTTAAACAAATTACTAGGATCGATGAATACCATAACAGTTGGCAGGCTTCTTTTTCTAGCCTCTTCTTTCATTGCAGGGCTATTAGAATTATTACTAATATATATATATAATATATAAATATATATAATATATAAATATATATAAAATATAAATATATATATATAAATAAAGAATCCAAGGAAAACTATGGATCCTTCTAAATTGGAATTACTATTTGAACGACAAATGAAATTAATGGAAATGTTCGTCAACCAACAGACTGGTCCAACTTAACACTCAAGCAATCCGAATCATACCATGCTGCCATCTGTCGACGGCATTGCGAATAGTATTTCACAGTTCAATTATGATCTAGATGCTAATGTCAATTTTGACATATGGTATCAACGATATGAGGATTTACTCACAGTTGATCTCGCCTCACAAGACGATGCTTGGAAGGTGCGAGTGTTAATACGCAAATTGGGTCCCGCCGAATTTGAAAGGTACTGCAACCTAATTTTACCCCAAAAACCACGTGACAAGTGTTTCGATGATACAATAAAGCTGCTGCGTGAACATTTTGGAGACCACTCCTCATTATTCAGCATACGTTATCGTTGCCTCAAGCTGACTGTCAATGGAGTTGAAGATTGAACGATCAATTCTTGGTTGTTTGCTCATAATCAACCTCCCCGATTTTCGCGGAGGCATCAATACGACAGTCATCGTCTCATCGGTCGCTGTTCAGAAAGAAGAGTAAAATATCGTCAGAAGTAATAAAATGATATATTATTGTAATATTTGTTTACAGACCTTAGTTCGTTTATTCCTTTTATATGTTGGTGTAACAATAAAGAAATAACAAGCAGCAGATCGGTGTTTAGGTTTTTGCGTCCGTTACAACTAAGCGTTTCTGAAACTCAAAGGAACAGCGTGGGCCCAAGCGTAGCGACAGCTGGGCATTAACGGTTTCTGAGACGAGACTGACACTGACAATGAATGAAAATGATGATTTTCTTACTCACGTTGGCACAGTCAACCGAGAATGTGAGAGATTTCAACTCAGGTCCTTAACAGATGATCAATTCAAAGCCTTGATTCTCATATGCAGTCTTCAATCTCCTCGTTTCACAGATATCCGAACTCGACTGCTCAATCAGCTAGAACAAAATCCTAGGTTACTATTACACGACATAGCTGATGAATATCAACGGCTGATTAATTTGCAGAAAGACACACACCTGGTCGAATCAACACCTTCGAGAAGCTCTGATATTCATGCATTACGAAAGGGCGAAAATCTCTCATCATCCAGTCCTGACCCACCTTCTCCTAATGTTCCGCGTTTACTAAGTAAACTGTTAAAGAAGTTGGCTAGGACACCTTCAGATGCCCCAGTCCCTGCACCGGCAGTTGGTGTAGGTCCACCACTAGATGTCACAGGCTTTGTTCTACTTGCTGATGTACGAGGTGATCCAGAAACTGATGGATTTCCAACAACTGAAGATGAATTCATTAGAGCAGGTGTTGCTGATATTTGATCCGTAACAGAATCTGAACTACCAGGTACAGGTGTATTTGGTTGAGCGATATCCCTTTGTATACTTACCATGGGGCGTGTTAGAAATGTCTGATCATCTTGGAGAGCCACTTCCATTTCACGAAGAGCTGTATCTTTTTTGGCTGTGGTATTACATCAGAATAAAGACTAAGAGGTTTGATTTCAGTAAGATTTTCTTGCAAAATTCCAATCTTTTTCTCATTATCCCATCCCCGTCGCCAAATTATTGTTATGTACTGGTCGAGAAATTAATAGTCCTGATGCAAAAAAGACGGAAATCAGAAGATATGGATACATATCATTAATAACATCGATAAAAAATGCGATAATCTAGGGAAAGTGGAATTGCTAATCGTATAGAATATATAAGGAACGATAAAATTGGCCGAGGATCTGTAGTCTGTAGACGAGAACGATAAGTGAATGATAAGCGAGATATGATTATATGTAATAACATAGGAAATATCGATGTTAAAATAATAGTGACGTGATTTATGTATGAAAATATTAACCAGTTAAATGAGTAATCAAATGACTATTACGAATAAAGATAATAAAAATGAAAATTCGTTATATTTCGATGACTTGCACGTAACGTTTAGGCCAATGGACTCGTCTACCAGATCGTATTGTTTTCGCAGGCTTCTCTGTCGACGTTGAAGCTTGTGTGGACGTCGTGGCACGTCGTTCAGCTGGTCCTTATTGTTGACTTCGGAATCGTCGAGGAACGCTGGTTTGATTCTTTGACAGGACAAGCGATTTCGTGTCCACTTCTTAACGTCGCTGTTAATGTTCGGTCGGATAAATCTTTTTCTTAGTAGCTTGGTAGTAGCGCTCACACCAGGATGCGACATGTTATGTAACTTCTCGAATACTGTATGTCTCATAGCTATTGGAACGAAAGGTCGATATTTATATGTAGAGGTGTCGCAGAAAACTTTTGTCGTGCCAAAAGGGACTGCCTCGAGACTTAGAGATGTTGTTTTAGAAGACATGATCTTTTTGAGTTCGACGTCCTCTCGTTGTAAGTTTGAGAGATGTTCGTAGTCGATGTCTAGGCATGCAGTGTTATCAATGTGCATACGTGGCAAACCATCTGCCACTTCATTGTTTTTATCCTTTACATGTCGCACATCAGAGTTGACTTGGGATATATACTCCAGATGTCGTATTTCGCGCGGAGAGTAATTAACCTACTATGCTGATAAAGCTTTCATCGGAGCACTATGGTCTGTTGATCGGAAAGATGGCTGTAGAATGTCAGGAAACTGATCTGCCGAGTCAGTATATGGAGGTGCTGGTGTGCGTGTGACCATCAAGTTCAACGATGATGCACGGCTAATCGTACCAGCGATGTACTTTTTATTGAGCGAGTCTATAAGCTTAGGGCTTACCGGATCAACTAGCAATTTGTGTTGCTGTAGAAAATCTATACCAAGGATTGGGGATGGAACGTCTGAGATGATGAAAGACCAAGTGTAGGTATTCTGCAGACCAAAGTCTAAAGTCATTTGTTTACTACCATGTGTAACAATATTAGACTTATTAACGGCTTGGAGCGTAACTGCAGGGTCAGGATGTTGACGTTCCTGCGTAGTCGGAGGGAGAACACTAACCTCTGCTCCTGTGTCGACTAAGAATGTAGTACCGGTATTTCTATCTGTTACATAAAACAAACGACTGCTAGATCGTAGATTGCCGACAGTAGAAGTTTTCATACATGACGATATATCTTTTGGTTTAGCCTGAAAGTTGCAAGGTGAACGACACCGTCGTGCATTGCTTCCGTAACTACGGTGGTACCAGCAAATATTATCGTGATGTCGTGACGTGCTACGTGACCGAGAAAGACGTCGACGAGACGAGCTTCTAGAACGGCTTGGTCGTGTGTGTGTGGTCAGTGCTGCTAACTGACTCAGTAAGGTGTCGACTTTGTGTTCTAGAGTCTGTATCCTGTCGTGAGTGTCTGGTATTCTGCTAGTGGAAGCAACAGATTGAGGTGTTGACCTCTCGTGCATGCGATCCGCGATTTTGGCGAGCTTTTCTATGTCAATGTCGTCGTCTCCGAAAGCAAGAACTTGCTGAATGTTTGTAGGCAGTCGTCGCAACCAAATTTGGTAAAAGAGACGTTTATCGATTTCTCTTCCTGCTACTAGGCTTTGCATGTGCCTCATGAGTTGTGATGGGGTTCTATCACCTAGCTTTAGATTGCTTAACAAACGATCGAGTGTTTGCCTATCAGAAAGCGAAGTGCATCGAAGTACCTTTGTCCTTCAACTTGCCGTAAGGAGCGCCTGTGCTGGGTTGAACTATGTGTTGTCGAACCTGTTCGGCGATTTCGTCTGGTAGTACTATACTCAAAATGCCGAATTTAGTCGTCTGTGATGTGAGCTTTCTGGCAGTGAAATAATGCTCCAGTCGTGCAAACCAAAGATGGGGGTTTCTGGGCTTAAAAACTGGTACAGTAAGAGAAATAGTACTAACAGATCCCAGCTCTAAGTTATTAGAGGTATTGGAAGACATGTTACAATTCGTAGAAAACTGGTTTAACAGTAACAAAATAGCAAAAATTATGCACACCAAGAATATGGCAAAACAGAAAAACATGCAATGCAGATGCTTACCGCAGATTACTGCAAGTTGTGCGATGAGAAAGCACAAGAAAGAGTTCGAAATGTCTCTTATATGGACATATATAGATCCAATAAAGTTAGAGTTTAAATAATCCATCAAGTGTAATGATGCGTCGGGGTGAACAAAATGTCGTCGGAGTCAGCAAGTTATCGTCGCGGTGAACAATCTGTCGTCGGGGTGAACCAGTTATCGTCAAGGACACCAACTTGTCGTCGCTGTCGAAATGTCACGTCGGGCTCACCAATTTGTTGCGTGAGTTTCACATTCAGATTCAGATGATAAGGATAGAAGGCTCTTTTGGCCTGTATTAATCCTTGCAAAGTATATCTTTGCAGAGATCTAACTTCTCTTTGAAAGCGTTCACCGATGGAGCTGATACTACTGAATCAGGTAAGGAGTTCCAATCGTTGACCACTCTGTGAGAGAATCTAAATTCTGCACGTATTTTAATCGTCCTTGGTTTGAGCACCTTTTTGCGGTGACCCCGTAAATGTATCCTAGAAGGGGAGAAAAGGTTAGAAAGGTCAGTTTCTAAATCACCCTTAAGTATACGGTATGCTAAAATTAAGTCGCCTCTCTTCCATTGGTATGATAACGGGAAGAGATTTAAATGCTCCATCCTCTTGTCATAAGGAAGGTGTGAGATACCACTAACTAATTTTGTTCCTACTCTCTGTACTCTTTCCAGAATATGTGCCTCCTTTATGAAGCATGGACTCGTCGCTTGTATGCAGTATTCTAGATGAGGCCTGACATATGTTGCGTAGAGTATTTGGAACATGCCCTCGTCTAATCGTTTGAAGGCCCTTCAAAGTCCCCATAGCATTCGAAAAGCTTTAGCTGCAGCTGCATTGCAATTTGCAGTTGTTTTCAAATCATTGATGACAATGATTCCTAGGTCCTTCTGTTCGTTAACATCAGGTAGTTCTGCATCCCCTAGGGAGTACGACGCATAAGACTTCTGACCTAAGTGCATTACCGCGCTTTTCCTAGCATTCATTTCCAAACTCCATAGGCTTGACCACTCAGCTAATTTATCTAAATCAGTTTGTAGGGCCGACCTATCCTCGTTATTGTTTACAGTTTTCCATATCTTAATGTCATCTGCAAATAATAATGAAGATGAAGAAAGAATCCCTGGTAATTCGTTAACGTATAATAGGAATAGCAATGGACCTAATATAGTTCCCTGGGGCACTCTACTGGATACTGCTTTCCATCCTAATAGTACACCGTTAACTCTAACCTTCTGCCTTCTATCCATTAAGTAATCTCTAAACCACTCACATAGGCATTGGTCTAGTCCAAAACCTTTCAGTTTACTAAGGAGACCTAAGTGGGATACTTTGTCGAACGCCTTGCTAAGATCAATAAAAACCACGTCCAACAGATGGTCCCTATCTCTGGCCTCAACCCAGTCTTCCCTAGCCAAAAGTAGGTTTGTCAAGCAGGATCGTCCTGGTCGCAATCCATGCTGTTCCACAGCCAACAAGCCATGTGTTTCAACATAAGCTAATATTTGATCCCTTATAATAGTTTTCAATACCTTTGCAATAATGCATGTCAGACTTACCGGCCTGTAGTTAGATACCAATTGCCTATCCCCGTCCTTGAAGATTGGGCGTTGAAGATAAGAGTTATTTGACTAAACTGCCGTACACGTATATTCTAGGACTCCTTCGCTCTTATTAATGTGCGCAGACGTTGTGGCTACCCGACGCCCACAACGTAAATCAAAAGGCACTTGTGAAGAGTACGAATGTAGTGGTCAAATTCGAAATTGTGTTAAGGTAATGTTCAACAGTAAATTGACAAATATTTGCGAAGTACAAATAAAATCGGTCTGTGTACACATATAATACAAGTATACGAATTAGATTAAAAAGCATGTTTACAGTTGGTATAGGGGTACTACAAGTGATACAGTCAGATCATCTGCATATATGACAAAGTTTCGTTTCAATGGGGCAGGTCGTGTAGGAAGAAAGAAAAACGTAGAGGAGAGGGGACGCCATCTTGAGGAACACCGGATTTTGTAATCGAGGTAGAAGAAGATTCACCCATATATACAGTATACTGCATTTTATCAGAAAAATAGGAATGCAACCAACTCTTAGCCCAGGATCCTGTTTGTGTCAACGATAGCTTATTTAATAAAAGGCCCCTAGGTACAGTGTCAAAAGCAGATGTGTAGTCTAAGAAAGCACTACGAACATACTTGACACCTTTGTCTGAACCAGAAACAACATTGTGATATAGGACAACCGCAGCATCCAATGTACTTCTACCATGTTTGTAAGCAAATTGTTTAGGATCATTAAAACGTCTCAATGAAGGTTCAAGATGAAGTAAAAGTAATTTTTCCATCAATTTTAAAAAAGGAGAAGTAATTGATATAGGCCTAAATTTAATATCAGTACCAGAATTTTTTAACCGAATAAGATAATGCTTAAAAAGTTATCAAGTGTCCGTTGGAAGGGTTTTGACTGACTTGGAAAGAGATTACAAAATGATACTAGTTAGAGAACTATTGGCCTTAAGGAAGTACAGCAGACCTGTTTCATTATAGATATGAGTGTAAAACTTGGACACTGTAGTAGAGTACAACTCCATTATAGATAAGATTTTTTTATTTTGATAGGTCACACACAGTGTTATGCAGTTATATTAATTGATGACGACGATTCGAGCACAAACTAATCCTAATCATAATCATATCAAGTCACTCACGAAAGGTCGATATTTATATGTAGAGGTGTCGCAGAAAACTTTTGTCGTGCCAAAAGGGACTGCCTCGAGACTTAGAGATGTTGTTTTAGAAGACATGATCTTTTTGAGTTCGACGTCCTCTCGTTGTAAGTTTGAGAGATGTTCGTAGTCGATGTCTAGGCATGCAGTGTTATCAATGTGCATACGTGGCAAACCATCTGCCACTTCATTGTTTTTATCCTTTACATGTCGCACATCAGAGTTGACTTGGGATATATACTCCAGATGTCGTATTTCGCGCGGAGAGTAATTAACCTACCATGCTGATAAAGCTTTCATCGGAGCACTATGGTCTGTTGATCGGAAAGATGGCTGTAGAATGTCAGGAAACTGATCTGCCGAGTCAGTATATGGAGGTGCTGGTGTGCGTGTGACCATCAAGTTCAACGATGATGCACGGCTAATCGTACCAGCGATGTACCTTTTATTGAGCGAGTCTATAAGCTTAGGGCTTACCGGATCAACTAGCAATTTGTGTTGCTGTAGAAAATCTATACCAAGGATTGGGGATGGAACGTCTGAGATGATGAAAGACCAAGTGCAGGTATTCTGCAGACCAAAGTCTAAAGTCATTTGTTTACTACCATGTGTAACAATATTAGACTTATTAACGGCTTGGAGCGTAACTGCAGGGTCAGGATGTTGACGTTCCTGCGTAGTCGGAGGGAGAACACTAACCTCTGCTCCTGTGTCGACTAAGAATGTAGTACCGGTATTTCTATCTGTTACATAAAACAAACGACTGCTAGATCGTAGATTTCCGACAGTAGAAGTTTTCATACATGACGATATATCTTTTGGTTTAGCCTGAAAGTTGCAAGGTGAACGACACCGTCGTGCATTGCTTCCGTAACTACGGTGGTACCAGCAAATATTATCGTGATGTCATGACGTGCTACGTGACCGAGAAAGACGTCGACGAGACGAGCTTCTAGAACGGCTTGGTCGTGTGTGTGTGTGTCAGTGCTGCTAACTGACTCAGTAAGGTGTCGACTTTGTGTTCTAGAGTCTGTATCCTGTCGTGAGTGTCTGGTATTCTGCTAGTGGAAGCAACAGATTGAGGTGTTGACCTCTCGTGCATGCGATCCGCGATTTTGGCGAGCTTTTCTATGTCAATGTCGTCGTCTCCGAAAGCAAGAACTTGCTGAATGTTTGTAGGCAGTCGTCGCAACCAAATTTGGTAAAAGAGACGTTTATCGATTTCTCTTCCTGCTACTAGGCTTTGCATGTGCCTCATGAGTTGTGATGGGGTTCTATCACCTAGCTTTAGATTGCTTAACAAACGATCGAGTGTTTGCCTATCAGAAAGCGAAGTGCATCGAAGTACCTTTGTCCTTCAACTTGCCGTAAGGAGCGCCTGTGCTGGGTTGAACTATGTGTTGTCGAACCTGTTCGGCGATTTCGTCTGGTAGTACTATACTCAAAATGCCGAATTTAGTCGTCTGTGATGTGAGCTTTCTGGCAGTGAAATAATGCTCCAGTCGTGCAAACCAAAGATGGGGGTTTCTGGGCTTAAAAACTGGTACAGTAAGAGAAATAGTACTAACAGATCCCAGCTCTAAGTTATTAGAGGTATTGGAAGACATGTTACAATTCGTAGAAAACTGGTTTAACAGTAACAAAATAGCAAAAATTATGCACACCAAGAATATGGCAAAACAGAAAAACATGCAATGCAGATGCTTACCGCAGATTAATGCAAGTTGTGCGATGAGAAAGCACAAGAAAGAGTTCGAAATGTCTCTTATATGGACATATATAGATCCAATAAAGTTAGAGTTTAAATAATCCATCAAGTGTAATGATGCGTCGGGGTGAACAAAATGTCGTCGGAGTCAGCAAGTTATCGTCGCGGTGAACAATCTGTCGTCGGGGTGAACCAGTTATCGTCAAGGACACCAACTTGTCGTCGCTGTCGAAATGTCACGTCGGGCTCACCAATTTGTTGCGTGAGTTATTTGACTAAACTGCCGTACACGTATATTCTAGGACTCCTTCGCTCTTATTAATGTGCACAGACGTTGTGGCTACTCGACGCCCACAACGTAAATCAAAAGGCACTTGTGAAGAGTACGAATGTAGTGGTCAAATTCGAAATTGTGTTAAGGTAATGTTCAACAGTAAATTGACAAATATTTGCGAAGTACAAATAAAATCGGTCTGTGTACACATATAATACAAGTATACGAATTAGATTAAAAAGCATGTTTACAGTTAGTTTAGGGGTACTACAGGTCCAGGATATTCCTTTCTTCTCGTTTCCCACTCACTGTCTCTGACGCATGATCCAGTCAGTTCACCACAATTAGGAATATTATTGTTGATAATAAGCACCCTTGTCTGACTCCTGTGTTTACTCCAAACGCCTTACTGAGTTTTCCGTTGTGGATGATTTGACATGTGCCGTTGTCTTACAGCTGTTGAATAAGGTTGATGAAAGTTTGGGGTACGCCATAGTACTCGAGTAATTTCCAAATTACTTCACGATCAACGCTATCGAAGGCCTTCTCAGAGTCTATAAAGTTGAGGTAGAGATTTGATCGCCATTCCATGCTTTGTTCGATGATGATGCGTAGAGTCGCAGTTTGGTCAGGACATGATTTGCCTTTCCTGAATCCAGCTTGTTCTGGTTGGAGTTCTGCCTCCAGTGCGTCCTCTAATCTCTCCAGGATGATGCGACCAAGGATTTTACTTGGCGTTGACAGCAGCATGATTCTTTGCCAGTTCTTGCAGCGTCCTAAGTCTCTTTTCTTTGGTAGTTTCACGAGGTAGCCTTTCCTCCAGTCAGTAGGCACCTTTGCCTCCTTCCAAACCTTTTGCAATAATGGAGTCATCAATAAACTTCAAGCCATGGGTGCTGTTCACAACAAAGTTATATAGGAGAATTGACTTCAAGCTTTATTTTTCCCAGATATTTTTATTACATTCATCTGATGTCTGGGCTTTTGTTGATGCGAAGACAATATTTCTATATCTCTTAATGTGCTACACAGACAGACTTTATAGCAGACTGTTCCGACTGACTCTAATGTCAGAAAGAACAACCAAACTGTAAATTCATCATACATCAAATTATGTGTAATTTATATGATAACTTATCCATGCCTGTACAACTGGTATGTTCCTGCATAAACATGAAGAAATATATATATTTGTGCTATTATCTCTGGGTCCGCTTTTAGTGCTTCAGGGGGTATTCCATCTGGTCTATCTGCTTTTCCAGCTTTCAGAAGCTTGATTATATTCAAGACTTCAGTGAGGATTGATGTCAACTTGCAGTCGTCTGGGCGCTGTTGTTCGTATTTCTGGACAGGTTGCAGGTGGTGGTCGGTTCAACAGTCCTTTGAAGTGGTCCGCCCTTTGTTTAATCTGTTTTCTACCTTGGCGACTGGGTTCCCTTGACTGTCTTTTATAGGTTTCGCTTGTGTTGTTTTCTTCCCGGAGAGTATTAGTATTACAACTATTAGTACAAGATAACAACAGACCACAATAAGCATAAATGGGAAGAACCTGAAAGAAACAACCTCCTTCACCTACCTGGGAAGCATCGTCTCAACTACAGGCGGAACTGACGAGGACATCAAAGCCAGAATCGGAAAAGCAAGACAAGCTTTCATTACTCTCAAATCTGTGTGGAGGTCAACATCATTCAGCATCAAAAATAAGATCCGAATTTTCAACTCCAATGTGAAGTCAGTGCTACTATACGGATCAGAGACTTGGCGAGTCATAAAGAGCATCTCAAACAAACTTCAAACCTTCATTAACAACTGTCTCCGCTCAATACTCAAGATCAGATGGCCAGAAAAGATCAGCAACAGGGATCTCTGGGAGCGAACCAATCAGGAACCGATTGTTAAACAAATAGGCAGAAAGAAATGGAGATGGATTGGCCATACGCTGAGGAAACCAACAAGTGACATCACTAGACAAGCCCTCGAGTGGAACCCGAAAGGGAGGCGGCGAGTTGGTCGTCCAAGGGTGACTTGGAGGAGGTTATGTGAAGAGGAGATGAAAGCATGTGGGC